ATAGTTTTTCCTTTATAAGCTAGAAAATAAAATTCTTTGGACTTGAGAGCTTATTTTCTCTTATTTGTGTAAGGTTTCATTTTGAAAGTAAGCTTGAAGTATTCTGAAAAGGAAAATAAATTTGGCACAAGAAAGCATGTCTTTATTTGATTTAAAAAATTATTTATTTAAAAACTTCAAAACTTTATCAATGGACTGATATTTTAAATATTTTGAAAAGATGTTGAAGAATCTATCATCTTTCCAGTATCTTCTCACTTATTACAAGTACCTACGTTTTGCTGATAAATTTCCAATGATGCTCTGCTCAAAAAAAAAAAAAAAAAGCAAATGGAAAATTCCTTTCCTTACTCTTACAAGGCACTAACAAAAATACAAAAATACCTTATTAACTTAAATAATTATTAACCATCTAGTGATTTTGTCTTTAAATGCCAAATAACCAGTTTTACTGATTTTATAACCAAACTTATACTATGTTTTAAAAAAATGACCAAAATAATCAATGAGTCACAAACAACCTGCCCCGTTTCAGTAGTTGCTGGTTCTTGCAGCAGCTCAGGTGTGCAGGCACATCACCATCCTTAACACGTTGTCAATAACAGATCCTCCATAGCTGGCAGAATCTTGATGTGGTCAAGGTCAATCTTTTGAAAATTCAAATACAAAATGGTTAAAAAGTCTTTTCAGCATTTTATTATTATAAAAGAAAACTCATTATGATGCTTTTCTTCCTTCTCTGAAATTATACTATCATATTATTCTACAATATAGAGTTTTAATACAAAACCTCGACTTCGTGTTAAACAATCTGAAAATTCTCTTCTTCTCTACTTCTGTAGCTTATCATTAGCTACGATATATTTTTTTTCTTTTAGAAAGGAATTTCTCTTAGAAAAAAATTATCCAAAAAGATTTATATTTTTATATCTTGTTTCATAACCATTTCCACTGGAGCATGCTTCTTTTCAATAGTAGCATAGCACGCATCCTGGCATATGTCACTTTCTTTAAGGCGGCAGTGAAGTAGTTAATTCATAGCCGAATTCATAAGTGAGTTTTGTCTATATTCGACCAGTGGCAAAAAGATTTATCTTTCAATTATTAAACTATTTTTCCCAAATGTCAAGAAGTCATAGTAGTATAAAATAGATTAATGTAAATATAAAAGTAGTTTTTGTTAAGCAAAGTTTGGAATTAAAAATAGGGCAGTGAGTTAAACACCTAATTAATCCCTGGAACCACCCGGTGGGATTGGTAAGAGAAGGGGCTGGAGGAGAGAGAGTAAGGTTGCTTCTGAGGTCAGTCAAGCATCACGTCACCAATTCTTCGCATTCTGGCACAACAATATTTAAAAGATCTGGACAACCAGAGCAGCGAGCCGTCCTCCCTTGCTTTGAAGACCTCACTGAGAATGGTTTCCTTAAGTCTTCCTGGGCACACCAGGAAAATCACTGAAGAGCCACGCGGTCGGGTGCGAACTCAGAGCTTTCTTCAAGCACACACGACCTTTCCTCCGTCTCTTGTGCTGCTCTTCTCAACCCAGCCAGAACCCCGCCGAGTTTATTCACACCCCCACGCACGCAGGCAGAGTGGCGGAAACGCCCTCTTTCCATCCCTTGCAAACAATTATCTCCGCGCGCAGAAGGACCTGATCCCAGCTTTGCGCGCGGGCGGGGGCGCGGGGCAGGGGCGGGAGTCGGGCCTCCGCGCCTGAGGATGTGGGGGCGCCTCCCGCGGTCCCCGGGATCCGCAGCCAATCGTCGGCAGGTGTCCGCGTCCTGCGTCCTCACCTCGGCGCCACCCCGCCCGGGCCCCTCGCCCCTCCCCCGCACCGCGCGCGCACCCC